ACTTCAGTGGTATCCCAAGTTTGTTGATTTCATTTGCAATACACGGCTCTTAGCCTTATTCGTGACTCGATCCTAGATAGGGTTTGAGTTCGACTCATGACTGAGTCTTTCGTGAATAGTCATTAAGACAGGGTTCTCATGACCTCTAGTCATACTAGGTCGATGGTGAAACATCGCGCTAGATATTTAGCTGGCGTGGAGAGATTCCACGCTACTAGATAAATGCTAGACGAATCTTCCACGCGTTCCGTTTTTGGATCGTGGAATGAGTAGGATTGCTACCGCAACCTACTCTATCACACTTTACAGTCTCCCGCGGGAGTTCAGATCTACGATCCTTTGATTGTGGATCTCTCTCGTTGATTAGTTTTCATAGCTTTCTAATCCTCTCATAACTTTCATTCTCTCAAACTCAAAACACTCGAAAGATCTTTACACTAGCTTTTAGCGTAGTGCAGAAGCAATGGCAAAGCCGGTCTCCAACTCAAACACCGTTGCCAACAACCTCGAAGCGAACTTTGGAGTCGGAGTCTTCCGACGACTCGAGTACCAGCGCCATAGCACCTTCGTCCAAGTGCGGTAAAAAGCAAAAGCAAGCCGAAAAGCTACCTACGGAGAATCATCTGATGCCGGCTCAGCATGGGAATTAGACCTGAAACGTGTTCACGGCCTCACCGACGAAGAGGCATGTATTGTGATGTCCATGATTGCTCGCTATACCAATGAAGGCACATTTCCAACTCCCAAGGATAGGGATGATCGTTTCATGAAGTTTGCTCATGAGGGGTGGAAATACCTGCAGGAGCTCAAGGCACTACAGAAAATTTACCCCGAATGCGGTGACCAAACCTGTATTGACGGGCAATGGAAAATTCTCTAAAACGAATGGAAAAATGGGAGCATGATTTTTCTAATAAATTTACCAATCTACGATTTACTTTTTTATTGATATCATGGATATTAGCTTGGTGTTGGTATGTTCCCCCTGTCTCCAACGAGACGAATACTAGACTGTCTCGTAAATGGATTAACCCTAACTCTAATGGTGGACAGAGGTGGGAAGAACCATTATTACCTCACCTCTGGTCCACGGTCCAAAGATTGACCCCCGTTTTTCCTATAGTAAAACAGTACTTTTTTATTGGTGGGTCTGAATTTACTTATGGCGGTCCAACAACTAACCCCATATAAATGACTTAATAAATAACATAAAAAGACTTAATGGGTTAGTTTTGTAGAGCATAGCCCTATAAGTAAAATGAAGGTCCATGGACTGACTCCAGCCTGGACCGGGACCAAACCAGCCTCGTGGCGAATGAGCGTCCCAAACTAATAGCCTTTATTCGACAGTTAGCTTATTACTATTTGATAGTTAGCTTTTATTATTCGATAGTTAGCTTTTATTAGTTGAAAGTTAGCTTTTATTCTACAATTAGCCTTTTTATTCGATAGTTAGCTTTTATTATTCGACAGTTGGCCCATTTATTCGATTAGTTAGCAGCCTTACATTTGACACCATGTAGCTACTAGAGTAGAAGCAAGTAGTCCGCGCTTAATTTCGGTCATACCATGCGCGCGCCAATAAGCTGACATGCGTTAGGCATCTTGCACCACACCGCTTCCACCGACCCCATCACAATTCCAATTGAGCCCATGACCATGCCAAAAGACGCCCGTCCCAAAGCTTCACAATGGTCCATAAGCGTGCCCCTTTCTCGAATGCGCTGATTGAACGTCTTTCGAGTTTACTTCTGGACGAAGTTCTTTACACCATTTTTGCAATCCTCGACAATGGCACCGGCAATCGTTATCTTCAGGGATACATCAAAACCTTCCGTCGATGCCGCTTCAACACGTTATACAAACTTGCAGGAGCTGCATTTATTAAAACATGCCTACGAGTTAACAAAGCCCTGATGGAAATTCAGTTGAATCAATTCAAAAAATTCGGTATACACAGCAATTCCCTAGGATTCCATACGCACCTTGCCCAGCTTAGAAAGAAAGCGTACGAAGGTGCAACATTACGCCAACTGATGGAATATTTCCCTGACACTGAGGAGTTTATGCTCAGTCTCTCCCGGATTTATTTGTGAAGCATTTATTTAAGACTTTTGTTACACACACACAAACTTGCGCAACTTAGACAAACATGCAGGAGTAAGATTTGATAAACGCAAACCACAATACTACTATTTTACTATAGGTTTGTACCATGGAATGTAAACATGTTACATTATTCCTGCCTTTTTATTATGCCTCCAGAGAATGGGCATGTGTCACGAATTATTAAAACGTAATCTATTACTATACGATTGGAGTCAATGCATGATTTGCTCTGTGAGACTATCTTTATGGGCTTCTTTACTAATGCCTGTGCAGGATAGCGAATGTCCTATTCTTACTGGGTAATTAAAGATATATGCTGGGAAATTCGAATCCTGCATAAGCACTCGATTGTACCCCTTAGCATAATTTGCTATATAAAATACTGTACGCATCTACCTACTAGTCAACTTACGAATTTGTACTGTTTTACAATAAGTATGCTCTCTGTGCAGGATTCGTTCCGTTTGGCGATTTCACGGAACACGATTGAACGATGAATGCATGTTTCAACTGTCAGCTTTACTTATGCCTGTGCAGGAAACGATTTTACTGGTCAATAGAGAATATAAGGTCTATAGTTCGAATCCTACATAAAAGCGCTTTTGCACTCCTAGGAACTTGTACTATATTAATTACTGTATGAATCCACTAACATGTGCAGCCACAGATTCTCAAATAGATGTCTTTTCTTACATGCTAAAATCGTATGATGTTTATATATGCCTATGCAGGATACACGAATGTCTTGTTCTACTATTAATAGTTTGATTTCCACGCTTTATAAATAGTATTCTTTACTATATAGAGTACTGTATCTATCTACCTAATCACGACTCGGCTATTGCTGTGAAAAGGAATTTTATACTGTTTATGCAAACCACCATATGAATATATAGTCAAATAGTACGATTGTGCTTTGTCAATACGAAATGGTACTATATCTCGCTGCTAGCTACTACTCTAGACTACCTAGCTAGCTAGATACTAGCTAGATAGTACTACCAGGTAGCCAGGTTTCCAGCGCTTCCTCTTTCTTTATCTCTAACCATTGTATTTTAATAAAGTAATTTTATTATACAAATCCATGCTCCCCAGTGGCTCCCCCTAGGGTCGTTAATATATGCCTTCGAAACCCCCACCTCATCGTGAAACACATGAAGAAAGCCGCACCACCTTCATACCGACAGGATGAACTGGTCAGCCATGAAGAATGGTTGAACGTGGTCAGCCCTACAGGATTACCAATGAAAGTGTATAAAGCATGGAAGAAAGGAGAGAAGTATAAAGCGTCACACGAAGAACGGATTGCGAGAAACATCGCCCTCAAGAATACCTGTGACTGCAAAGGCCTAACAATGAAAGTGTATACGGCATGGTTGAATGGTGAACAGTACAAAGCCACCTAGACCCCCACATAATCCCTAAACATCTTAACTATGAGGGCAGAAGACACAATTCAATTCTACTGGTACTGTCAGACGGGCAGGAAGGATTTTGCCAACATGCCTGGGTTACTCGGCATTTTTTCTGTTTGGGAAAGTGTTTTGGCGATTAAGTGATCCTTATGTAAATGTCTACACACCGTTAGTAGACATAAGTAGACAAAGTAGACATTGTGCGACTTTAGGAGACATTAGTAGACAAAGTGATACATTGGTAGATATTGGTAGACAAAGTGAGACATTGTGAGACATTGTGAGACATTGGTAGACAAAGTGAGACATTTTGTACTGTTTTACTGTACTGTTCAGACAAAGTGAGACATTGGTAGACATTAGTAGACAAAGTGATACATTGGTAGACATTGGTAGACAAAGTGAGACATTGTGAGACATTGGTAGACAAAGTGAGACATTGTGAGACATAAGCCACTTTTTCTAAGGAGCATAGAACATTTAGGCAACTCTGTAATCAGATACAATAGCTTAAATAGACAGAATGCCGAGTAACCCTGAGGTAGATCCAACGGGATGTCCAATAAAATTAAAATTTAGTAATTTAATTTAAAAAATAACAATTTTAATCGTCGCCACGTCTACCAACGCTAACAATTTCATTCACACAGTCCTTCTCGATATATTCAATCAAAGTGTATCTAAAGTTCGGCACGAAACTCCTACTACCGACAACAATGCACACCCATGACCTAGCTTCATCATCACATCCTGACATAATGTGCCCGACACTCTGAGATGGATGATCATGCATCTGGCCGCAATATGGACATCTAGCCTCTGTCGCGCCCTGCTTCCTCAAAACAACAGAAATCCCGTAGTACTCCTGTAGATACATCCGCATCTCATCCAAATCGATAGGTAAACCATTAGCTATAGAATTATCGTTCGCCATGGTCGCAATTTATCACAAAAAATAAAATCCTCTAACCAGCAGATGGAAAGATGTTTGCTGTAACCGGCCTATGTTGTAGCCTCTGCGACTATTTGACCATGGCAGATTTGACTAAAAGAGAATTTGTAACGGAAGCCTTCATTGCCTTTGACTATGTTGCCTGATACACCCCGACGAGGAAGTCAACATAGCGAGTTGGTTTCCCAACTACATTGTCAGCCAATTCGACGATGACATGATAGACCTAGACCAACCCCTTTCCATGGACGGTTGCGGAGGCCTCCACTGCCTCATAGGCGAAAGAAAGGTTATCATACTGGAATTTCAATAGGTTCTAGCTAGCTCTAGGTTGCAACCTTGGGTTGCTCCCGACCCTAACCAGGTAGAAATAGGTTGACCAGCGGGGATGGTGGGTGCTTGAGGAAAGATTAAGAAAACTCCGCTGTCCAGGGTGATAGACAACGAAGACACCATGAATGCTAAACATGCACTATAGAATACAACCTTACTACTTTTGGACACACATCCATCCAACCAAGGACCTATCGACGGCCCATCCGACGCATAAGAATCATCTGTTCCAAAGAAGGGTCAGCGGGAACAGCTGCAACACCTTGACCTGGGATGGCAAATGGCGCTCCAGGGGGGAGGTTTCCGGCGACATACATGTTGTTCATGGCCATAGCTTGTTGTTGACGCAACAACATTAATTGATCCATATGCGTCACTGCCATAGCAGCCTGGTGTTGCTGTTGCTGTTGCTGTTGAAGATGCCTATGTTGGATAGCAGCTGCGGCAGGGCTCAGCACTGCAGCTGCCCTCTGACTGGTCATGTTGTTGATGATGGGAGGATCAGAAGCTTTCATTGTTTTTTTCCTGGAGCTCTCACCGGAAGGCGAAGCAGGAGGTTTGGGAGCAGCCGGAGCCTCTGGTTTCGAGGTGGGTTTGGAAGTACCATAAAGAGCCGATGCCAACCGTCGCCTACGAGCTGCCTCGGTGTCTCGGCCGACAAGATGCTGTTGTTCGTTCGTCTGCATTCGATGACGTGTTAGAACCAGCTCTTCTTCCAACATTTGCTTTTGCCGTTTCAAGGCACGTTGTTCCTCGGCCAAGGCCACCTGCTCTTGGGCCGACAAGCGTCGACTAGAAGCCAGTGACGTTCTCCGGATGGAGTTGGTACCCACATCGCGGTTGTTGGCTAGGCGTTGCGCAAGCTCGTTGGTTTTCTTTGGGCTTTCCGCGCTGTCAGGAGTTCCCAAAGAAGGATCATCCCACGTCATTCCCAGCCTTTTTCGAGGCGTCTGTTGTAGATTAGCAAGCGTCGTTGGAATTGCCTTGCCTCGGAGGATGTGGCTTTGGCGGAGGTGAAGCCCCGACTGCGCGCTTCTTCGCTCAAAGCCGTGCTGCTCTGGCCTTGGTGGCTCAGCTACGGCTACAGCAACAGCAGGCTGCACAGGTCTAGGAGGCAAGCGAATAGAATTCTTTCTTCGTTTTCCTCGGTTGATGTCCCTGCTTGGTTCCGGAGTAGGAGCATCAACGTCAATGATTTCAACTGATGCAGGAGGAGGAGGAGCTTTCTTGACGCTCGACGCGGGCTTAGCACGCGAGATGGGTTCCCGACCGATTGAGCTGCTCTTTGGCGAGGGACGTGAGACGGGCTCTTTACCAGTAGAGCCGCTCCTGGCTGCTTCCAGCCTTGCGAAAATGTTTCTCTCGGGAGGGCGTGTCGTTGGCTTTCTGGCTGTGACCTGGCTTTTGTTGGGTTGGGTCGCTGGCAACGAAATTGGAGGTTCACGAGACTTGCTTGGCGCGGCAGTGGCAGTGGCATCGTTCTTGGGTGGACAATCTCTTCGAAGGGCAGCAATTCTCACGGAAGGAGGAGCGACGGAAGCTTTGTCGTGGCCGTGGGATTCATCCCTACGAAGCGAGGCGATCAGAACAGATGGAGGCACCCTTGCCTTCTCTGGCTTCTTCACACGAGGGCGAACGGCCTTCGTAACCTGCTTCCGCTGCAATGGGTGCGTCCGTTGCTGGAAAAGTATCTTGTCCAGCCCCTTTTCTTTCCTCCCCTGCTCTACTTTTCTCATTGAATTCGAAATGAACTGTTCCACGGCAGCTGCAGACTTGTGAACAGGAAGCAACATTCCGTCGCCTTGCTCTCGCTGCTTTCGAATCCCTTGAAACAACCTTCTTCTATCCTCCTCCTCTCGTTCCAAAGCCAGCTCGAAGGCGCCTTTGCACTTTAGAACAATCTCCGAGGCCATTTCCGGTTTGAAGCGATCGAACTTAGGGTGCTGATAAGCCAAGAAGTGCTTCGGTAAATCCGGCTGCATGACCCTCTTAAATTCCCTACGGGGCGCGAAAAGAACAGAAAAGTGGAGAGCATGCGTGAGACGCGCTGAGAAACATTGCATTCGGTGACGGAATCATGCTTCACGTACCATCGAGTTAACATCACCGTAATCCTTCTGAGATGATTCGGTGGAAAGAACATATTCATCACATCGTCTTTGAAAAATGCCAAATCAAATGCGAAGGTTTTTCCGCCACCATCTGCCGTCCACCACATCTTTCCAGACTGAAAACAAGGATGAAAGGTGAGGGAAGTATTCCGTGGGCAGACGATTAGTACACCGCGAACCATGACGTACCGCCACACTCGAATTCATCAACAGCATTAGTTGTTCGGGGAATGTCTTGCCGAGACATTGCTCTGATAGTCGTTGTTCCTGATAAATTTCCCATGCCATCTTCGGGCGCCTTTTCTTTGGCCTCTTTGTCATCTCGAATTTGGCCGAAAGGACTTTGCCTGCCACCTTGGGCTTCGGTGCACTGGGGATGTGGGCAGGATTGGCAACAATAGAGGAGCCCACGCTGGTCAGGGGATTTGGATTGGTGGATTTCTCCTTTTCTGGTTGAGCTTCAGTTGCACTCGGAGAAGCTGACGGCAAAGGAAGGTCGGGAAGCAAAGGCAAAGATTTTGTAGGATCGTCAGGGCGGTCGGTCACTTTCATTGAAAGCAACGTCGGCAGGTTGGATCCAACCTTTTTTCTGCATTTTGCAATATCATCTTGCCACGAGTCCGATTCGTCTTCTTTTCTCGATCGTGAGTACCCTGGATAGTAGCTCATCGTTGCTAAGCGTGGTTTGTGTGCCCCATCCTTCTTGCGTTGCAGTGATCCCATCAACCTTCTTTGGTTTCGCTTCTTCTGTCTCTTTTCCATCTGTTTCAATTTCTTCCTCTCAGCGCGATCAGTAGATTTTTTCATCGATGCAGGTCCCGCCACAAAGTTATCCGGGGCTTTCTTGGGCCTAGCAGACTTTCTAGACCCTTCCACACGACATTCCTTCTCCCAGTTTGGTTTGCGTTCTTTGTAGTCAACCATGAGCCTATGAAGAGGAACCCTTGATTTCGGCGAGTTCCCTCGTTTAGGTCTCTTGCTTCTTTCCCCAGGTGAGTTGCCGGGTGTCAGCTGGCGACCTCGATCTTCGTCCTTTCGGGAGTTTTCACGAAATTCGCTTTTCAATTCGGTGTTGTCGGTGGCTGCTGCCGCTCTCGTCGAAGCTTCGTCTTTTGCCTCTGCATCACTGTCGAGACCCGTAACGTCAATTTCCACTTCCAGTGAAGCCGATGCCGCATCGTCTCCGTCCCTATCTTCCACCCCGTAATCTGTAACATCAATTTCATCGTCATCGTCAGAGTCTTCGTCGGTTTCGTCACTTGACTCTTCGTCTTCGATAATTACATCAGTGACGTCTATCTCGATTTCGATCTCTTCGTCTTGGCCAGCTTCGGACCCCTCTGCAATTTCTTCATTTGACTGGGTTCGATCGCTCTCGTCCAACATCTCTATAGTGTCGTCTGGCTTGGTTTCAGGTAGCCCTTCTGCTTTGGTCAGCGCTTCTGTGTCTTTGGCCACGACTTCGTTTGTCTCGGGTCGATCACTCCTATCCACAATTTCCGAGCCAACAGAGGTTACATCTACGATGTCTTCTGATTTGGCTTCAAACTGCGCTTCTGCTGCTTTCGACGATGCTTCTGCATCATCTTCAGAACTCGGTTCTTCCACTGAAATGCCTTCTGAAGTCCCGGTGATGTCAATGACCACTTCGTCTTCCATCAAGTCTGCATCAGCTACTTCGCCTTGTCCTTCATTCGATGGTTCTTCTTCTGACATTGCTTCCAAAAGATCAGTGCTCATTGTGGTCTGTTCGTCCTTTTCTCCTTCATCTGAGAGCTTGCATTTCTCCTTCTCCAGAGTCTCCGATTGTGCCTCCACAGCGGCCTTGACGCCTTCCCCTGCTGGCTTGATGTCTCCCATTGGCTCAGGCTGTTCTTCTGTTGTTGGTGGTGGTGTTTCTGGTTCGGACGCGCCGCCCTCTTCGTCTGGCTTGGCTGCCTTCACGTCAGAAAGTGCCGTGATCTGCACAGAGTTGCACCACTCGGCTGGTTCTTCCTCCATGACTTCAGCTGCTTCTTTCCCAGCCTTGGCTTGGGACTTTTCTGCTGCTGGCGTGGGATTCATTTCTTCAGTTTCGTCCTTCTTAGCTTCTTCTTCAGGGTTGGCTTTCGTCTCCTCGTCTTCTTGGTGGGACTTTGCTACTTCTTCTTGGTCTTCATGTTTCTTCTTTTCACGTGCCGTCATGTCAATTGCCATCCCTTCATCTGATCCCACGGTGGGGTCTGCCACCGAGCCTGGACGAGCTGACCCTTCTGTCTTAGTCGCTGGCTTTATTTCTTGTGCTGTCTTGGCTTCAGTTGCTTCAGGCCCTGGTAACTCCTTTTGAAGAGTAACCAATGACATGGTATCTTTCCCCCCTTCTTCAGAATGGTTCTTGTCAGCCATCTCTCTGGAGGCATCTGATGGCTTGTTATCAGTCTTGTTTACCGGACTCGGCAGTGCCGCTTCTTCACTATTGCCTTTTTCTTCTTTTGCTTGATCGTCCTTTGGAATCTTGATAGCATCATTTTCTGGTTGCGGTGCTTCAGCTTGTTCCGTCGAAATGACCTGAGCAGCCTGAGACTCTTCCTTGGAAGCCGGAATAGATTCAGCCTCCATGGATGGATTTGCCTTTTTGCTTTCTTGGCTGTCTTGGGATGTTGGCTTTGCGGTGGGAAAGGCTGCTTCATTACGGGAAGCACCAACTAGTCCTACCATGGTTAAGATAGAAAATCAAGAACAAACGCGACTGTTGGTGTTAGCACAGGTCTACCACCGGTTCACTTGAAAACCACCGAACTCGAACATCAGAACAACGTACCATTGATGTTATCCGCAGTATCCACCTCGAGTACTTTGGAACCGGGTCCTTTCGGACTGCTGTTATGTTTTGCCCTTGCTTCTTCCATTGTTAACTGTGTATTGTATAGCTAGTAGAGAGCAAATCAATGAGGGATAACAACAACCTCTCTTGTATCTGGACTTTGGATGCTCAAGGTCTTGAAGCTCTTCGCTGTTGTGATGGAAGAAGTCCAAGGAAGAAAAAGGTCCCTTGCAAGCCTCGTAGATTTTCCGCAGGTGTATGTACGTAGAACCAGTATCAACAGTCTTACTAACACAGCTCAACGTAACAGCCCGAGACCGTCTACCAATCGTAAACTCTTCCTTGCAGGTCGTCAAAGTTTTCACACTCAGCGCGGAACAATCACCCAAGGTTTTGACCACAAGCGCGGTTAAAGCGCGAAAAACTGAGTACAATTACTTAAGTCTCACTTTGAAGCGGCGATTGCATGGAATTAATGCTTTCCATTTATTTAGGATCACGGATCAAAACTTGTTTAAGGAACTGCAATGGGTTTTGATGGAATAGTTCAGTTTGGTTAAATCTTTCTAATAAGATTCGACTGAATGGAATTAGAAGTGACGAGTTTCTTCTTGTGATGGTATCATTGACTTCGCATTGAATACTTTGTCTCATGGACAGGGAACAAGAGATCCAGTAAAAGCATGTGAAGATTTGCTTTCTAGACGTCTCATACTGTACCTTGATTTCTCTGGCTAGAGTAAAATGCTCTTAAATGAAAGATGATATTGTGTGGGAAGCCATGTAGAAACGTACCTTCGCGTCAATATCTTAGACGACGTAGAGGGAGTATTACTGTTAAATACTCTGACAAATGGAAACTGGAAAAGCCCTGAATGGGAACCACTTTCGCTTACGTTTGCACTAGATTTCACCACCCCGCAAATACGTTACCGGTTGGAAGCATGTGGCAGCTATGATGCTACCGGTATGATACCTGTTTCATAGGAGGCAGCCGACAGCTTTTAGCGACGTCCGGTACCGGTTTCTAAGCAGTCTCTTTGGGTGTTTTCTATCCCTGATTCACCAGCTCCTAATTCAGAAGGGAACAAGGTCATTTTGCGATCTTTGGCATTGAACCATTGACCTCCTAATTAATTTGGTCCAGCAAGCTTTCGTTCACGCATTTTAAAAAATAGAGCTACTACGGTACTAGCTGGCTAGTACATGTTAGCTGGTACGACAGTGGTAGTACGACATCACCACGGCCTTTCGTTCACGGATACACCGGATGCTCAGGCTGCACAACCACCAATTGAGATCCTACATGCAACCAACGGGTGGCTGTCTCCTTGTTGCTGTTTTTTGCTAGCTAGCTAGCCAGTATGCACGGTAATATTGTTGCTGCTCGGAGACCTCTTCTTCTTCATTTGATCCATTCGCGATGGCTTGTTCCCTCGGGAAAGAATCAGGACCTGTCTGTTACAGGTTATCCAGCTCACTCACCATGATGCTTCCTGCTTTATCAATTTCTACCCCAACTGGCTATCCTGCACCACTCTTGCTTCCCGGTGGATATTTTGGATTCTTATTAAATAGATTGGATTAGATTGGTTCGACTACGGTAGCTATCATAGCTTGCTACACGTAGTAGCTAGGCAGACTCAGATAGCAGGAGGGCTAACTAGCTCTACCGATAGAGGCCCAAGAAATCAAAGGGAGTGGCCACTTCCACTGGATCCATTGCCACTTTGCAACCTGCTTCCAGCCAGGGGCGACAGCAGAGTCTTGCGGCTGTCCCAAGGAATTTCACAAGAACAGAACTGCAGCGGCACGTGGAATTGGATTATCCTTAGCCCAAATATGTTAAATTATCTCTAACCTTTAAAACTAAGTTAAGGTTACGGCTACAAGCAACGGACCAACCCTGCAGTTGCTGGGTTATGGCCAAAATTGGGACGACTTGTGACCTTCCTGGTGCGCACTTGTACCATCTTACAAGCCTAAGTAACCGAATTTGATCCCGACAATTGTGACCATCTCTAGATTTTTCGCCAAGTCTCACCTAACTCTATTAGTCGCTTGACGTTTTTGCGGCCATGGGCACTTAGGTAATTTGATCGTGTAGATCTTTCGCAAAAGTACGTGAAGGTGTCTCTCTACCTCGTGCTTCATGTCTCAGGTGATGCCATGGGCTTGAATGACGAAGTGGACATTTGCAGAACAAAAATAGACTGGCTTCGAGCTGTTGGCATGTTGTTGGCATTGATCTATCTTGGGCAAGACAGTTCTTAAAACTTTTGTGAACTTGTTTGATCTCTTCTGATCAGTGAGAAGACATTGGAAGGTGTTCCATTGATCTAAAGAAAGAAGAAGATAAGGAATATACCCATTGCTACCTCTAGCTATTATAATAGATACGGTAGCATCCTTCAGCTTGAGAAGAAGAAGAAGAAGCAACATCAAGATGAGCGCTGTTCGACTGCTGCTGGGCCTGATGGCCTTGCTGGGTTTGGTCCGGACGACTACAGCACAAGGCGCTGGAACAGATGTGCAAATGAATTTCAACTACACGTTCTATGAAGGTTTCGAGCCAACGGCAGATCCCACGGACGAAGAGCTTTCTCACTTGGCCTGTGTGACGCAGCGGTGGGTATCTCAGGTGACCAAAAACTTGACGGGCAATCCTACCCTTACCATGGAAGCTACCAACGTTGCCTACCAAATGACTAGCAATGGAAGCGAAATGATCTTTACGGGCGTCTTCAATACCGCCCCTGGGCCCGACGAATTGGCCACTCTACCCGACTCACAAGATATTGTAGTTGCCTTGGCGCCCCAGAACATTAACGCTACTCAGTACATTGCGGACTTTATCTATTCGGAATCTTCCACTGGAGGCCATGCATACTGGGCGGATGTCAATGGAATTCAGTTCGAAGCAGTTTTTGTGGACGCCGCCAGGCCAGCAGGTCGTCTGGATGCACCCATCTGCGATCCCACCATCGCTCCAACCTTTGAAATCACAATGGCTCCCAACAATACAGGTACGTCTTTTCTTATCTTATCTTATTATCTTATCTTATGTTTCCCAGCCAGTGAGCGAGGTAGTTTCGATTAGTGAATTTGAAATTCACCTTTTTTTCCTTTGCACGTTCCTGCAGATCCGGCTGCAAATGCTACCGATCCCAACGCTGCAAATGCTACTGATCCAAACGCGGATCCAAACGCTGCAAATGGTACCGATCCGAATGGTGCAGGTGGCCCAGACGGTACCGGAGGCCCAGGTAGTGGTAATGGCACCGATCCAAATGGCCCCGGTGGCCCAGGAGGTCCTGGTGGTCCAGGCAGTGGTAATGGTACAGATCCATTTGGACCTGGAGGCCCGGCTAACGGTACGGATCCTAATGGCCCCGGTGGTCCAGGAACTGGAGGTCCAGGCAACGGTACCGATCCCAATAATCCCAATGGTACTGGTGGTCCTGGAACTGGTGGTCCTGGCACTGGAGGTCCTGGTAATGGAACTGATCCCAACAATCCCAACGGTGGTGGTCCTGGAACTGGTGGCCCTGGTACTGGCGGCCCTGGCACTGGCGGACCTGGTACTGGCGGACCCAATGGTAAGAGATCGGCTGTGAGGATGGATCCATTTGCTTCTACCCAGTTATTCACCCACTTGTTTCTTGTTGCTTTTGTTGCTACTAATTAGATCCCAATGGCGGCCTCGACCCCAACAATCCAGGCGGCGGACCTAACGGCACCGATCCCAATGCTACGTTTGCTCCCGGTACTCCTGGAGGTCCAAATGGGCCTGGAGGTCCGAATGGACCAGGAGGTCCTGGTGGCCCCGGTGGTCCTCCCGTTGGGCCTCCCGGAACAGGTCCTGGTGGTCCCGGCGATGGAGGCTTGACACCTGCTCCCAGTCCCATGGCATCCGCTCCCTTTACAGATGACATGGTCTTCTTTACGCTGCAGTATGGATTTGCTGCTGGTCAAGCGAGAGATCCCACACAGGCAGAGATTGAAGAGCTCATTTGTGTGACCAATCTCTTCTTCCGTGACATTATCAGAAACTTCACCGGAGATAACACTGTCCAGTCAGAAGCCATGCACATTGACTGGAACTATCTTGAAACTGAGGAGTTGCCAGTAGGACTCAACTTCACTGCCAACGCTACTTATGGCAATGGTGACCTTGTTCCTGAAGAAACGGTTTTCGCTGCAATGGAAGTCACAGAGGAAGAAATTGTCCAGTACATTCAGCAATATGCTTGGGCTACAGATGAAGGTGGCCTCTTCTTCAATGCAGAAAGTGTCAACTTTACTGATCAGGTCAATGTGCCAGTGCCTGTTGGCCAGCTGACAACACTGGCTTGCCCAGAAACGCCAATGCCATCAACGGCTCCATCCATGTCTATGGCGCCATCAATGTCAGGTGCACCTTCCTCCCCACCTTCAGCATCACCCGCCCCTACCAGCTCACCCCAGCCATCACTTGCTCCGTCACTCTCGCACTCGCCATCGATTTCATCTGCCCCATCTCCAATCGCAGAAGGAGGCGGTGGAGGTCCAGGCAGCGGTGGCCCTGGTAGTGGCGGTCCTGGTGGCCAGCCCAGTGCCGGTGGTCCAGGCGGCTCAGGAAGTGGAGGTCCAGGCAGTGGTCAACCAGGAAGTGGAGGTCCAGGCAGTGGAGGTCCAGGTGACGGGCGACCAACGATCCCACCAAATGCTGGACCTGCCACCAGGGTTCCTGTTGGATTCAGATTCCTTGTGTCAAATTTGGATGGCATCACCGATCCCGTCCAAGCCAATTCCAGTGGACTTTCTGTGTCTTGGCCAGTCTTTGCTGATGACGCTGTCTACAACATCACACAAGAACGCAATGCTGCTGCTAATGCACGCATGTTGCGGGCAAATGGAGGTCGACATCTGTTGGTGTATGGCGGAGTTGAACCTGGAACAGCAATTATTAATACTCTTGTTGCAGCAGATTGCCCTCCAGAATCTCATCCAGATTCTACCTGTCACAATGCAGTTGCATCTTATGTTCTATTGACTTACGGTGAAAACGATACAAAAGCCCTCGAGGAGGAATATGCTATAGCTACAAAAGAAAAAATTGACGATGGAACTTATCAAGAAGTCATGGAACAGGAATACAATAATACTCCTCTGTTCATTGGTGTCATTCCTGATCCCAACGCAACAGAACCTCCATCGGACAGGGAACCACCAGCAGAAGAGGAGGACAAGGGCGGCTTGGCCCCCTGGTTGATTGCATTGATCGTATTGCTCTGCCTCCTTTGTTGCTGTTGCCTCCTAGCTGCCCTGTTCTTCATGATGCAGAAGAACAAACAAGAAGAAAAGGAACTGGAACCCTATGACGAGGAAGGTTTTGTCTACGACTTCTTGATTCCACCCAACCAAAAGCCCCAAACCGAGGTCGATGACGATGCTGAGACCAAAGACGTTGACGATGAGGGAGAAGACGAAGAGATCGAAAATTTCGATGATGAAGATGAGGAGGCAGCCAACAGAGGTGGTGCCATCCCCATGCCTCCCCCAGAGGATGTGGCTGAGATCGAGCCGGAGAACTTCGACGACGAAGAGTCAGACAAAGAGGAGGAAGACTCAGACAATGAGGAGGATGATGAAGACTCAGACAATGAAGAACGTCAGATAGAAGAAGATGAGGTGGAGTCTCCCAACTTGGTTCCGGTTGATAACAACGAAGAGGATCCGTCTGAGGCCGAGTCAGAGTCCGAGCAGGCACCGGATCCAGATTCAGAACATGGAGACCAGGAAGACCCAGACGGTGTCAGATCGTCCAAGTTGGAAGAAATAGATGGCGATTCTGATGAGGAGCCAGCCACGGAGGCAGAAACTGATCAAGACACCGAGCAAGAAGATGCTTGGCAAGACGAAGACGAACCAGCTCCTGCGGCAGATAGCGATGAAGAACCAGCGGCGGCAGATAGCGACGATGAACCGGCTGCGGCAGATAGCGACGATGAACCGGCTGCTGCAGATAGCGACGAAGAACCAGTTGCGGCAGATAGCGACGATGAACCAGCTCCCGTGGCCGACGATGATGCAGCGGCAGGGCTGGAAGCTGTCGATAGTGATGGCGACGAACCAGCAGGAGAAGAACCAGGCGACCAGGAGGATCCGGGCTCAGATGGCGATGCCAACGAAGGAGAAGCTGCCGAAGGAGCCGACGAGGATTGGTAAGCGAAGAAATTTTGATCCACGCCTTGACGATGGCAGCATGCAGCTCACACACAACCGATCACGCACCTTCCAGGGACGACGATGGCAGCAATAAGGAAGAAGAAGGTGGAGCTGACGAGGATTGGTAAGTGAATGAATCGTGTGTCATTGCTCTCTGATTTGAACATGCCACTCACGTGCCCCTTTTTGCGACGTTTTCCAGGGACGACGAGGACAACAAGGAAGAAGGCGGAGCCGACGAAGACTGGGAAGACGGCGGCGCAGAAGGTGATGGTGGCGGCGGCGACGACGATGACGATTGGAATGACGAGGAGGATGCAAAAGATGCCAAGAAATAATTAATTCCTGGGTGGTTTCCCTGGTACTTCCACCAACAATATCAGTGGGATGGCATTGACCAGGATTGTCTCCTGCGACATGACCTCACTTGAACACACTTCCCCAATCTTCCTCCTTTGCGATATGCGATCCTGGGTCTCATGATCGGCTGTACATTCATAGTTCGTACTTTAAAATCAAATCTATCTAACCGCGTGCTTTCTCTGACTGTCATGCCTTGTTGGTTGTCGTGTTGGCTGTGCTGTGATTCTAATGCAAGGGCAGTCGCAGCCACAATGGAATTCAGAGCTGTCAAAGCCAAGAACTTTAATCCCACAGACTCCCGGAGGCATCGTTGTTGTAATCGATGTTGCTAGCTAGGAAAACTTCTATAGAGAGGGTCAGGACAGAAAATCAATAGGACGGTGCCGAGTGGGCAGGAGAATGTTTCTTCAAACAGTTTTACCACAAATTTTGAACGACCGAAGGGTCCCGTTCAACGGTGCGAATTCAAGGGGATAACCAAGCATGAGTTTCCTTCCAGACTGAACGTCCGAGCCAAGAGGAACACCAAGCTGGAGATACAAACATGTTACGCAAGCAGTTATTCCGCTACTAGTGCCAACACAATAGCAGCCCCAACTCTGAAGGCAAAGTACCTTTCCTTTCCCAACAGCTGTTCGAGGCTTGCACAGTCTCCAAGCTCAGTCGGGAGGCTACGAGAGATCGCAGTTTCATGGAAACCAAGTGTTGTCAATGCGGTCAAGCTGCCTAGCTAGCTAGTGACAATGACAAGGTTCCACCAAATGGACTTTTTTATGCTTTTAAAAAAGGAGCTCCCTAAAGATAAGGGTACTGGGGCCAGTACGGTACTGCAATTAATTGATCTCGGATCACAGTGGTAACTACCGAAGATGGAGGCGTCTATAGCTAGTTTGATCTCGTAGGTACCAGCCAACCCAACCCAACACCAACTAATATGCAAACCAAGGAGGCAGCTGAAAGTGAATTCCTTTTGAAAAGCAAGGAAGCGTTTTCTCCCTTCCTCTATAACCTGTTTCTATGAGCTGTTACGCTGTTACCCACAAGGACAGTCACAACCACACAGAGATGAAGAGCAGTCAAAACTTAGGATGCTCACGTGGCAAAGTTCTTCCGGAATCGTCCCAGATATTTGCGTGTCTGCAATCTTCAGCACCCTGAGTGTGTCGTTCAAAAGCCGTAGCTCCTGGGGTAGGGTCCCCACAATCGCAACGTTTCCTTCCAAATTGATTTGCTGCAAGTCCTCTAGTTGAGCAAGCTCGGATGGCAGAGTTCCAGTGAGAAGGTTGTCTGGTGCCAGCAACCTCTGGAGCTGCTTGGCATTCCCCAGCTCGGTGGGCAACGAGGACTCAAACCTGTTTTCGTGGAGAATGATTGACATCAAACCCGTCAAGAGACCTATACAGGATGGAATGGGACCCGAGAACTGATTGTGTGGAATCTGGAGGTCTCGGAGACGTTTCGAGTGCACGCCCAAGTCCGACGGTAATCTGCCGGTAAAGAAATTCCAACTGATCTTAATTTCCCCCAAATTGGATAGACGAAACAACTCAGCTGGAAGGCTGCCCGTGAACTGATTTTGGAGCAAGCCAAACTTGAACATGGCACGGAGACGACCAATTTCTGATGGCACCTTTCCCGTCTGAGCAGGAAGCAAATGAATTTTTATTTCGTGTTGGCTGCAAACTCAGAACCCAAGCGTGCTCCTCGACAGTAAGGACTTACCATTTCATTGTCGAACAAGTGTAATCTGTCCAGCTTGGTCAGTGCACCCAGCTGGGAGATGAGAGGACCTCCGATGCGGTTGCGGGCCAATTCAAACGCCCGTAGATCCGTCAGCAAGCCAAGCTCCTGAGGCAACGACCCCTGTAGATTGTTTTGCATCACGCCCAAGAACGTCAGAGTCTGATTTTCGTCGCATGCCTCATGGGTTCGAAAGGACGCCGTGGAAAACCAGGTGCATTCCGAATGCTCATAGCTGAGCCAGGGCTCCGAGGTAATATTGATGTAAACGCTCGAAGAGCCATCGTTTTTGGGTTCGCCGGGTGGAGGTCCACTTCCAATTCCACCCGTATCCATCGGCCGAGTCCCTGACGGCGGTGGTGGTGGCCGCAAGGATCCATCCGTTTCAATGGAAATGGTTCCACCACCTTGATGCAGCCAGTCTTGTCCGTGAGTGGCATAGTAGAGTGTCACCATGACAAATCGTTGGCGTTGTCGTGCCGGCGAATAATTGGCAAGGTATGGATCTTGTTTCATCCATTGATAGGCCCGGTACTGAGGAGTGGTTCCGTTGTGGTTATTTTGGAAAATTTCATGGAGTGTGCTGTTGGGAACGACAAAGTCCAAATTCCACGTCTCGATTTCGTTGCTGACTGTTGTGGTGTTACTGGCAACTTGCGACATTGTTGCAGAAGAAGCCTCGTCGTTTGCGTTTTGCTGCTGCAGTTGTAGAAGATACACTGTCACTCCCACAGCTACCAGCACCACACAACCGCCTACCACAATGAGTAGAACAAGTGCTGCACGGGACGATGTCTCCTTGCGTCTCGCTGTTGTAACTGGTCGTGCCTGTGCTGGATCGACGGGTTGTGCCTGTACCATGAAAGCTGACGACGGCGACACTGGTTGTGCCTGCACCAAGCCCGCGTTGTTGCCCCCTTCCAATGCCGACATATTGTAGTCGGAATCGCCGGGTTCCAGTCCAAAAATCAAAGAGCGCCCCTCCAAAACAGCGGATTCTTCTCCCGTAAAGGATGCCCGAAAGCGTCTCCAGGAAGGCACTCGTGGATAGGCGCCGGGTTCATGGGGTGTTGCTGCTTGCTGGTGACGAGTTGATGCCACACTGGCAGATTGATCAGCACGGATACTCCTAGTATTGGTATGACCATTTTCCATATTGGCTCCCATGGGTGCCACATCTTCCACTAAATCCATGGCAGCTGCAGACGTCATGACATGGACGGCTCCAGGTGTCACAGCGGGTGCTGCAGCTGATGCAACTGATGCCCGTTGTTCAGCAGCACGAGAATGTTGGCCCTCTGGCAACAAGGCTGCTGATTGTCGCACTTTTTCAGTTTCCCGTTTGATCCCTGATAGAGACATGACTTCTGGTATTGCTGGCGGCGCTGCTGCTGCTGATGCCCGTTGTTCAGCAGCACGAGCATTTTGGCCAGCTGGCAACGAGGCTACTGATTGTCGCACTTTTTCAGTTTCCATTTTGATCCCTGATAGAGACATGACTTCTGGTATTGCTGTTGCTGCCACTGCGGCTGGCGCTGATGCTGCTGATGCAACTGGAGGCTGACATGCCGATTCCTCCACTACTTTTTCCGTGCTGGGTTGATGCTGCTGGGCTTCTTTAGTTGCAGCAGGTAGGGTTGGAGCCGAAGACCCCTTGGGTTCTCTCGAGGCAAGCTCCTCCGCCGTCGATTGTTCCCCTGCAGTTGTTGTCATCTCTCGATCACTGGTACCGGTACTGGTAGATTGATCAGCTCCGATACTAGTATTAGTATGACCATTTTCCCTATTGGCTCCCATGGGTGCCACATCGTCCACTAAATCCATGGCAGCTGCAGACGTCATGACATGGACGGCTCCAGGTGTCACAGTGGGTGCTGCAACTGATAATGATGCCCTTGCTTCTGCAGGACGAGAATGTTGGCCCACTGGCAACGAGGCTGCTTCTTGTCCCACTTTTTCAGCTTCCATTTTGATCCCTGATAGAGACACGATTTCTTCTGCTGCTGGCGGAACTGCTGCCGCTGCCGCTGGAGGCTGACATGCCGATTCCTCCACTACTTTTTCCGTGCTGGGTTGATGCTGCTGGGCTTCTTCAGTTGCAGCACGTAGGGTTGGAGCCGAGGACTCTTCAGGTGCCCTGGAGGCAAGCTCCTCCTCGGCCGTCGATTCTTCCGCTTCAGTTTCCTGAGCGCCATCGTCTGTTTCGCTAACACCACTACTACTTGCCTCTGCCATCTTCTGTACCGGCACTGTATGCTCAAAGTGGCTCCATCGACTACTAGTACTCTGATGAATGGCAATGCATCTGTTCGCGAACACAACAAACACCAAGCGCGGATTGGTTGAGACAGAGAACAGGGCGCAGCAATTAAGTCTCTGTGCCAATGTTGGATGCAGTTTTGATACGACTACTAAATACATGTTATAAAGGGCATCAACCAATTATAAGAAGAAGAGTTTAATGCCCAAATGGCAGTAAAATGTGCCCCTTTTCAATGGTTCTTCGTGCTGGCATACCGGTACTAGCTAGCAGGTCCAGGAGAGTGAATGATCAATCGAATTTTTCGATTCGTCATTGGATCTCTCGCGAGGATCCGAATTCTTAGCAAACCTGTGCATAGACAGCCCATTGGAGCTTCATCAGGGACGGGGAAGCCATGTGCAATGTGTTCAGCAACCTGCTACTCAACCCGCAGGTGCCGGTGCCGCCTTGGCAACCTTCTCGTATACTAGTACCAGGTCCCTCCGTCAACTGAAACTATTCCGAACCAACACCTGGTCCAACTCGAACTGCCTACCGTATTACAGTGCCAACTCCAAACCTCCATCAAGCGCACCTGCTGAATCTATTAGCTTCTTCTGGACCAACTACAGGACGTTTCCCTCCCGGTCCAACCGGGACCTCCTCGAGACCCTCCACGAGGCTCGCAGCACCTGGCTCGACTTCAGGCTCAGCCATCTTCTACACTGAACAGGAGTATGGAAAGTCAGCCCTGGCTGGTGGACTACACTTCCCATTGCAACAGCCAGCCTATAACAATCTCAGCTCTGGCCTCCTCTGTCAAAGCAATCTATATTTGACCTCAGGGGGCACAGACACGTGGCATCTGGGGAGAGGCGACGGCGTTTCTTCCGACCTCGATGACTTCAAAAGGGCTCTAGCTACGGTAGCTAGCCGTGGACGAATTGGACTCGGGAGACGACCTTTGCAACATTGGCAATGGTCGCAAAAGTCAAGGGCAAGCAAAATCCGTGCCCGGCCTGGCCTGCCTTCACGCACCATCAAACTTCTGGTAACGGTAGGGCCGCAAGCACCTCACACATTTCCGGGCAAGCCTCCAGCGAGTATCATAAATAAAAGCCCACGTAGCCAGTGTCAATCAATACTCTCTCAACAGACCTCCCATTGACCAAATAGCCATGATCCTATTAGTCTATTGAGTCGTATTTTCCAGGTCCTAGCTAGCTAGTTGCAGGTTGCGCATTCAAAATTTTACAAAATTGCTTCCTTTTTCTATTTGCTTACTATCAAATTAGTCCAAAATAAAGTTAAAGCTGTTTAGATTTTCGTGAGAAACCTTCGAAGCAGCCAAACTCACACAACATTCAAACGCATTCAAAGAAGCCATTCACTCCTCGAGAGACCTCGTCACCTCGTCTCTGTTCTGTTGCAGTGAACAGAGTACCACAGAATGGAGCATACCCGGAGGAGAGAGGCACTGTAGTTGAGGATTCTGAAAATGAGAAAGCACAAGTTTCCGAGAGAAGCTGCTCTGACCGTCTCTGCCTCGTCAGTGGCCCACGAGGCTACTGCCGATGCAACCGAGCCAAACGGCGAAACGGAACCCAATGCCTTGCTGTCTCCTTCGACCAAAGACCACTATGACGAGGGCAAGGACGAGTCTGATGATGAGCAATCTTCGGGTGGCCGAGTGTCTCTTTCCTCAATCTTATGGGAACAGCAGCCCTCTTGGATTGCCGATCTGATTGATCAAGATCCCTTCATGGCACCATCCCTCTTTCCTTACCACATCCCCACTGGATTCAGTGTGGCACAGCAGAGTCGAAGGTTCAGTGGTTCTACAATAGTCAGCACCTCTGATTTTGGTAGCAACCCAAAAAAGAAGAGACATGTCTCGGAAGCCATGAAAAGCATGCGAATCCAGGGATTTCTCCAGAGTCTCCATACAAGTCACCTTCGGCGGCCACGGCCAACCTTTCGAGTTAACTTGAAGGCCATGAAACGAAAGTCGCTAAATCGTGCAACAACAACAACGGAAAAGGACAGTATCCTCCAAAGTGAAATTGATAGAATTCAGGGTAAACTACTCGAGGAACTGCAGCAACGGCAACAAAGCAACAACCAGTACATGGAGGACGATGATGATCTGGCCCTGGGACAGCTGGCCCGGAAACTATACGATCTAGCTAGGGAATTGGGTGATGCCGAACAAGTTCAGCAGGCACTGGGACACTACCGCAATCTCCACACACGAGACATGGAGTGGGAGGCACGTGCCTATCGGCGTCTCGGAAAGACCCAAATGGCAGACAATGATCCATTGGGGGCAGTGGTATCATTTGAAACTGCGCTGCAGATTTGGCGACAATTGGAACAACAAACGAGTGCTGATGATGATGATGCGGAAGCTACAGCTAGCAACATTGGTGAAACGCTCTACCTACAGGGAATGGCAGAGCTTGCATGCAATGAAGCCACAACCTCAGCCGCATCTCTCAACAGCAATAATGTTGAGCCCACAAACTTTGCCACAATGAGGCAGACCATTTCTCACCTGGAGGATGCAAGAGGGCATTTATTGCAAGCACTGGAGATCTTCAAAAATTGCTCCACTCGCAGACGCATCATTGATACTGCAAAAGCAGTTGGTAAAATCTACTGCATCCAAAATCAGTACGATCTTGCCTGCACGTTCCTGGAAGAGAATTATTCATTTTTGAGAGACAAACTCAAAGCTCCGGTCGGAGATAGAACTGGCCATGAATGCGTTGCAGACATGTTGCTTGAAATGGGAGATGCTCTCTGCCAAAAAGGCGAAGAGGGACGTGCAATTCTTTGCTACCAAGACTGCCTCCACATCAGTCGGCAACATCTCGGGCCTGGTCATATTCTTACAGACGAAGCATTGGTGGCGCTGGGTGATTTGTACTGTTACAACGGCCAACAAACGGATCTAGCCCTGGAGTGTTTTCAACAAGTGTTTATTGGGGCGGAGCACTTGCTTGAAAAACACATTACGCTAAAGACAGCAATCCTTCGCTTTCAAGACAATCAGACCATGGCAGCTTTGGCTGAGTTTCAAGATACCATTCAAATGTGCAAGAAAGCGGACAAGGTGGATACGAATATTCGTTTCACTTGCGTACTCTCCAACTCTGTCTGTCATTATACCAATGGAACAGACAGGAGGCCAAAGACTGCATAGAAGAAGCAATTCGTATTGCCTCGGAGTCAAATTTATTTGGACCCAACAACAATCAACAAGTTGAGGCACTTTTGAAGGAGTCGGAAGCACAGCTCTTCCGGTCTCGGTTTGGAAGAGCATTGAATAGCTTCAATCGGAAAGTTCAGAGTGGTTTCAATATGAGTGTGGGTACCTTTGCTTTCTCCAAGCAGTCGGAACACCACAGAATCACTTGGTTTTATTATCTGCAAAGCGATTCCTTTGGCAACCCGGATGGTTGGTATGCTTTTGATAGTCATCCTGGCAACTTGTTGGAAGCAAGATATCAGCGGTTAATGTTTGAGCACAGTCCACAACTCTTCCTTTTTACAATTGAAAGAATTGGCAACCGTGGCTTCTCATATATGATCAACTTGAAGGCTATGACACAGACCAACATCACTAGTGAGAAGTCCCGGCCAATTCATCGATCTGAGAGTGGGGAATCCCCTGTGTTTGTCCCCACAGATGAACTGGCCAAGATCAGGGAAGCAGAAAAGTGGAAGTTCGGTTTGGTGTAGGTATTCCTGTCACACCAGGACCACTAGCAGCTAGCTAAAATGGGAATTGTTTGCAGTGCATATTATGTGCTGCTCATCTGTGTCAATCTCGGTACAGTTGCCAAGCACTCTTTGCAGCGCTGCTGTTTGGTGAGTGGTCCTTCTAAGGAGAAGTTGCAAACTTGAAAACTACCAAACGCTAGCTACAGTACTATTAAGGGCAAGCTATCACTAGAAGCTCATGTTAGGAAAACACTGGCCAGTGACATGTGCAACCGCTGCGCCTACAATTCCATGCAGGTGCAGTCACAACCACACAGACTGGGCGAACAGGCAAAATTGAGAGATTCGAGCCCACAAAGCTCCTCTGGGATAGTGCCAGTAATGGAAGTGTCTTGCAAGTCTAATACTTCCAAAGTATCATTCAGATTTGCCAGTTCTGGAGAAAACGGACCAACCATACCCATGTTGCCTCGTAGGTCTAGTGACTCAAGGCTATGGAAAAGACCATATTCCGAAGGCAAAGAACCCGTCAGATGGTTGTTGCTGGCAATGATGCTTCCCAACTTTGTCAAGGTTGCCAACTCGCTCGGGAGTGGTCCCGTAACAGCATTCTCTTCAATGTTAAAGTGACTCAACCCAGTTAACAGACCTAATGTTGTTGGCAAGGAACCATCCAATGTTGCGAGCCTTGCAGCATATAGAACTCGAAACTTCGGCATATACTTGTGCATGCCGTTCGGAATGGACAGTTCCAGGGGGTTGTTGGCAATTCTCAGCTCTTTCAATTCCCGTAGTTGCCAAAACTCACTTGGCAAGGACCCCGATAGGAAATTTCCCTGGACAGCAAAACCCTTGAGTGTATTCGAGAGCAACCCTAGCTCAGATGGTATGGTGCCAGTGAGACGAGAGCCAAACAAGTGAAGACCCCAAAGCTTGGGTAAGGAACCAAACTGACTAATGATAGTCCCTCCAATATTGTCTTTGCCCAGCTTGATGTATGTGAGTGATGTCAAAAGTCCCAACTCCTCTGGGAGTGTTCCGGCCAATCCGTTTCCCAGCAGCTCCAAGTTCTCTAGGGTATGATTCTCGTTGCATGCTTCCTTCTTTCTTAGTGGTGAACTGGACAACCAGGTGCATTCGGAAGCATTGTAGGACAGCCAAGGTTCGGATGTAATGTTGACTTCTTTGAGTCCGCCGCTGCCACCTCCTGGTGGCTGTAGCTGGCGGCGCCCCCCTGGTCTTCCAGCAGCGTCGGCAGTTACGGTTACAGTGCCGCCTCCCTGATGGGTCCATTCTTCTCCAACAGTTGCATAATAGAAGGTAGCCATTGCAAATCTTTGAATCAGTCTCTCTTCAGTATAGTTGTGGAGATTGGGGTCATTTTTCATCCAGAGGTGGGCTTTTGATTGGGGTTTCGTGTAGTTGGTGTCATACTTCAAGGTATGGAGTGTGTAGTTGGGGAGCGAAAAGGGCAAATCCCATGTCCAGCCTACCACAGGCGTCTCGTCATTGGTATTATTGTTGTTGTGGCTCTCTGGCAGTGGTGAAGGAGCAGCCGTCGTGTCCTTTCCAGCCGTAAGGAATACAATCAAGCCAACCGTAACAAGCACAATTACACAAAGAGCCCACGGTACAAGAAGATAGAACAAGGACCTTTGCTGCGCAATTTTTCGTCTGCTGGCTCTCTCTTCGTCAAAGGGCTCCACAGTTCCAGTTGGTAGAACAGAAACAGGTCTGGCATGTACCAGCCCATGGTCATGGTACGCAGTCATGGGACAGGAGCTATTCGTTGTTGTGAAGTTGTCGTCTATTGAAAATCCTGACGAAGCAGCGGCCCCAAAGGGTCGTTGGGGAAAGGCTCACGGTGTGGACTCTACTTGGCAAGCCCTTGACCGGGAAAGCGATGGTGCGCCAACGTTGAGGTCGTCATGCTGTAGATTTTGGCCAATAGCGGCCAAGCGACAATCATAGGCGACTGCTTCCTTGCTGGAGGTGTCTTTACACTTGTGGCTTAGATAAATTATGATAGCTATCTAGGTTGTTCCCATAGGTAGCCTTCTGTTTCAGCCTTCTGTTTCATACTGGGTGAGTATGGCATACATGTAGATGTACACAGGAACACAGCATAACTGGAACACTGGTACTCAACCTGAACTCTACAATCATAGCATCATAGCCTCTGTCATGAATACCGGCCTATAACACCCTCTTCCAGTGGCTTTGATTGCTCTCCTTTGATTGCTCTTGCCTGTAACACCCTGTTTTCTCCACTAGACTGAACCACTCACTCTTCTTCTTGACTTTTCTTCTTGACATGTAACATTGTAGATTCACTTTGGATTCCCTCTTCTGCTTTCATTCCCCTCTTCGACTTCTAGAAATGTAGGCAGCATTGGGCTCTTCCTAACTCAGTATTTCAAATCCTGCACTGATTTCCTCGGTTGTTGCTTCTTTCTCATAGGAAGCTACGAACCAACTTGGTTTCTTCGGTTCTTCTTGTTGATTGGATTGTCCCAACAGTTTGCTTCGATATGACCTTGTCTTCCACATCTCTCACACCCTTCATCAAACTTGCATTGGGATGACAATAACATTTCATTCTCTTCATCACTGCTGTCCTTCCTGGCTCGACTCATCAGGCGTTTTCCTTCTGTCATTCTCCAGTGCTGATGCATGACATCACATAGGTCTTGCAGTTTCAGGTTTGGCACCTTTGACATGCTGTTCTGCGGCAATGATAGACTGGTACTGCTCTGGTTGCTGCTGCAATGACGGCTGATATGAGTTCTGACTGGTTGATCTTGGTCTGCTTGACTGGATCCCAGAATTGACATTCGATTTCACTGACTCTGTTGAATAGGACAACTGGATCTTCTTCTTCTTCATGGACAATGCGACAGTTGCAAACGGAGTTCCACTCGACTGACTGTATCCTTGGACGGAATCTTTCTTCAAGTCTTGGATGACTAGATACGCTAGTCCACTTGGCCAATTCACTGTAATGGCCGCAAAGTCCGAACAACATCTCATTGGTGAGGGACACTTGCAGAATCCACATGGCTAGTAGATTGCGTTTCCTCGCAGCTTTCTGCTCTTTTGTATCACCGGACTCTTCAACTTCTTTTTCGGGTAGATCATTCTCCTTAGACAGCGCCTCAGAACACCCATGGATAGCACAGTAGGAACGGAGCCTCATCATAAACATCATGTAGTTCTCCGGGCTTCCATCAAATGTTGGGGGCTTGTTTATTGCTTTCGTAATGTCGGTTGTTTCAGACATGCTGTCGTTTTGTTCTTCAATCTCGACTTGAGTTTCAACTTGACCCGCTTCTGTACCACTTTGCACGTTTTCTTCTTGGTTGGTCACACCAGTTCTTCTTAATCGACCTCGACTTCCTCTTTGCCACGTCCTACTTTCTGGATTGACTTGCTCAGCCATTCACGTTGCTGTTGACTTCTTCAAGTAACTTGAGATCCTTCGGTGCACTCTGTTGGACCTTAACTTGATTGCGTTACTGCGGATGTTTGCACTTGACTTGGCTCCACACTTCTACGCCTTTACTCTTACTGTACTTGGCACGGCTTCTGGACAAACGATGCCACTCAGGTAACTTAACCTGGACTCACTGATGGTACCTTAGATCTGTGTCTGTACCTTAGATGGATTACTCCTTGAGAGAAACTGTACTGGCCTCTAGACGTTGACTTGGCTTGAGGGACTTGCACTTGGCTTTGAGTTTCGGGACGTTGACTTGACTCCCGACTCTTGACTCGATGTGCGACTGGACTCAATCGATGTGTGACTGGACTCACGATCAGTGACTTGATCGGTGACGTCACTCAACCACGACTGGATTATCGTATCGAGCTGTTGTTGTTGATGGCCTGAGAGTTGCGCGACGCAGACTGAACTTCGGTAGTGTTACCAATGCCTTGTCTTTGTCAAACAATTCTCGAGCCTCAACTCGATGCGACGATGAACGATACACCTCGACGTAAACTTCGAAGTTTGCTGGAGGTGTCTTTACACTTGTGGCTTAGATAAATTATGATAGCTATCTAGGTTGTTCCCATAGGTAGCCTTCTGTTTCAGCCTTCTGTTTCATACTGGGTGAGTATGGCATACATGTAGATGTACACAGGAACACAGCATAACTGGAACACTGGTACTCAACCTGAACTCTACAATCATAGCATCATAGCCTCTGTCATGAATACCGGCCTATAACATTCCAAGGTTGTATGTTCTTCTCTGCGTGGTTCTGTTCCATTATCATGATTACTTTGGTTAGAGTTATCCTCTGCAATTTTCGATGGTTGTAGGTGGTGAACCTCTTTGAAGTTGCCATTGGCGATTGTGTCTTCGGGAGGTGCCGAGCGCTTCGTTCCAGCTTTGCTTCGAAGACCACGGCTTGGAGGTATCGCAACCTTTGGAACCGAAGCACTCACACTCCTCTGATCCTTCTGTGCGGCCTTGTCCTTCATATACTTCATTCAAAAGCTTCCTTCTAACGGGGAGACTGTGGGTTAATGGGAGTTTTGGGGTTCGTTGCCTTGCGGTGCGGTTGATCGTGCGTGTTGTGGTTGGTTTTACCACCAAGAGGGAATTTTGCTCCAAGATGTCCGTTTCGATTTCCGCGACTAATCTGTTTGCCATGCAATATATGTTCGGCAAAAAGATTGAGGACTCAACATGCATGCTGAAGGGTCGGGCTACTAGAGCTAGATAGTAGCCACCGCAGCCACAAAGCTAGGAAACGTATTCAACTCACAGACTCGACTCGACTGGACTCGGTTGTTTCGTTACTGGGGTCTGAAAGAGACATGCAATACGGAGACCACGAAGTGACTACAGCACCAGCATGTTTGCAACATTCCAACCTGTGGCATGATGGAAGATGCCGTTCTGCGAAATTCCCCTGCCAAGCAACGATATCAAGTTCTACCTACTACTAGCTAGGCAATAAATATGACCAGTGACCATCACAAAGTAACACCCTATTGAACACTACTAGCTAGCTTCAAGAAGGAACATGAAGCTCAGCCATGCTACCAAGATTGGCATGAAATTTCTAGAACGGGGTGGACAGCCAGCCAAGAGACAACCTTACAACAAGGGCAAAACACATGCAGAGGGCTTGAGCAGCAGGATCCAGGCAGATGCATAAGTAAGCAAGTGTCTCAACATGAGCACTTGGTTCAGTGTTCCAGCCATTGGGGCACAAGCAGTCACAACCACACAGACTGGGCGAATGGGCAAAATTGAGAGATTCGAGCCCACAAAGCTCCTCTCTGGGATAGTGCCAGTAATTTAATGGAAGTGTCTTGCAAGTCCAATAGTTTCATTCAGGTTTGCCAATGCCAATGGAAACGGATCAACCATACCCATGTTGCCTCATAGCTCTAGTGACTCAATGCTTTGGAAAAGACCATATTGCAAAGGCAGAGAACCCGTCAGCTGGTTGTTTTCTGGCAATGATGCTTCCCAGTTTTGTCGAGATTGCCAACTCAGCCACCCAGGAGTGTTCCAGTGACAAGATTGAATTGAATCAATCAATTCTCCTCCTTTATTAAAGTGGCTCAACTCCATCTTCAGACAGACTCTACCCAATGTTGTTGGCAGGGAACCATCCAATGTTGTGAGCCTCGCAGCATATAGAACTCTAAAGTTTGGCATGTACTTGTGCATGTCGTTTGGAATGGACAGTTTCAGTGGGTTGTTCTTCAATTCCCAGCACCGAAGTTGCTAGCTAGCTGGTTATTGGTTCCTTGTGGATGTTTGCAAGTAAGTGTGTGGTCTGTCCCTCTTTGCGACACCGTCCCAGCTGGTCGCAGCTTACTAGTAAGTCTTTGAGTGCAAAATTTAGGCAGCGGAGATTTCTACTTTAAATCCTGAGTCATTTTGATTCGACATAATCCACAATTGATGTATGGTTCAATAAGGCTTTTAGTCCAGAGCCTCTGCCAAAAGAATTTGGAGGCATAGCGATCGGCTCGTGAGGGTCTCAGTAAGAAGATGGTGGTCTTGCTTGGTTGAATGAATGAATGTTCGGACCCGAAGCACATGGCACACATGGCACTGGCTCATCGATTGAGGTCTTGGGGCTTGTTGCAAACAACGATAGACAAGAACGATGAACCTGTGATACAAGAGTTGTTGAAAGAGTCATTGGTGAAGTGTTTTGTGTGACAAGAAAGAAAAGAAAGAAAAGAGAGAGTCATGACGAAGAATGAGTGAATCGCAGCATCGACCTCATTCATCTCTGTTACTTCTAGTACGGGTGGGAGTTAGTCTGGTTCAGATGAGTCCGCTGTGGTGGCTCCTGACTGCTGCCCTGATTGTGATGACAACAGCAGCAACAGGAGAACAAGACGAACGTGTCCTCTCGTCTTCGCATTCCTATAATCCGCTGGACGTCATACCAAATGTCTTCCTCCCAAGAGACCCTGTCAGAGCAGACCCATTACCCATGGCCACCTTTACGCTGCGCCTGGGCTTTGCCAACCAAGTCTTTACCGCACCCTCTGTTACAGACACGGTCGCCTTGGTGTGTCAAATGAATCGCCACGTCCAACAACGACTTCGCAACCAAACACAAGACCCGCTGCTCGAATCGCAACTCGAACAAATCGCATTCTCTTCCGAACTGGACGCCAACAACCTGTTGCCCACGTGGGAACTCCAGTTCCAAGTCACGGCCACCTTTGGGTACAACGGCAAGACCATTTCTCCGTGGACTATTGTTCGCGTCTTGGACCTGGCTCCGGATGATATTCGATTTCTCTTGAGAGAGTATGTGAGGCCGTTGGTGGACACGGTCTTTCCCCAAACGCAAACACTCGTGTTGGAAAGTCAATTGCAATCCACACCCGACAACAACAACGCAACCACAACAACCGTAGTATGGGACACGATGCCGCAAGTGTGTCCTCCTCCGCCATCTCCCGTGAGCAATATTTTTGGGCGTTTGACGGCCGTTCCAGGACGAGCCATTGAAAATGAACGACAAGGAGTCTTCGATTCCACACTAACCACTCCTCCAAAGGATGGTGGAATGACTTTGAACGACCACAGCAGGGCTAGAAATAACCCCAACAACAACACTCCTCTATCCGACACTCTGTTTCAACGAAACCATCGAGTCGCCGTCACACTATCCTTTTGGGTGGCCAATAATCAAGGCATTACCAACGCCACGTGGATTTCATCCGAATGGATGGAACCGTCCTTTTCCCGGTTGGTTGATCTGGCCGTCGCCGTCACCACTACCACCGCATCACTCGCCGCCACGGTGCCTCGGGTCGTCCCGCACAGTGCCACCATTGTGGACGTGACGCCATCCAAGTGTCCACTATTAGACGAAGCATGGCACTGTCACAAAGTAGTCGGGCAATACGAGATGACGGTACAACAAGTGGGCATTCCCCTGCCAGTCGACCCCGCACGGTACACCCATGCCATGCGTCGAGCGATACAAATGGGTGTCTACGAACAGGATATTTTGCAGCAAGACGGTGTGCGGGTGGCCAATGAGCTGGAAGGACTACTACCGGTGCTCCTTGACGACGACACGACCATCGATGTCAACAACAACAACGATTCGATTTCTGGAGTAGAGACCAAACATGACATGGCCGCCATTGTCATCCCGGTCATCATTGTGCTCGCACTCGTACTACTGGCTGTCTTGGTATATCTACGACTGCGTGTACGTCGGAAATTGCAACTCCTTCAACGACAACGAGAGACCGCCTTGTGGGAAATGGAAGCATTCTTGCTGCCGCCTTCTTCACCGTTGGAAGAGTATCTCGAGCCGTCTCGAAAACACAATGGGTTGGAATGGGAAGAAACTGTTTGAGTGTGGGGGCTACCGGTAGCTAGAGATGAGGGGCAGTGTGTATTACTACTAGTTGTTAGGGGTTACAGTTTCCTGCAGGAAACGAACGGACGTGCAAGTCATTCCATGGGGATCGCCCGCAAGAGGAGGGCGACCAAATTCCGCTGAGAGCCCTCTCGGCGGATGTGCAAGTGCTTCCCCACGGGGATCGCCCGCAAGAGGAAGGCGACTCGAGTTCGCCCTCTGGGCGTTACGCCCTCTGGACGGATGTACGTACAAATGCTTCCCCAAGCCAAAAACCGTTCACGCGAGTGCTATTGGTCCAACTTAAAAAGGACAAGACGTGCGCAGTAAGGACAAGACGTCAATGAGGCCCGGTATCTATGATAGGCAGGTACGGTAGGGTGTCTTGCGAACGGCGTCGCCTTGCGGTTCGGCGACCGCCTTCTGAGGTTGGCGCCTCGACCAAAGGCACCAACGAGAAAATGTATAATATACATAATAAAGTAGACATTCCATAATCCAGCAATGCCGGAGGCTGGCTATCTGTATCTAGGCTCTACTCGGAGGCAGCAAATGTGCATTGGGTCTACCGGTGCAGTAGCTATTAATTAATAGTGTGGCGTCCAAACCGGCAATGGGTCGAAACGTTCCATCAGAAACATTATTAGCTAGCTAGCTACTGCAGGATGGACGGCTTGTCAAGTACTGGCATGGCGCCCCGAATATTGGGTTGGGTACGCTAGGTGTGAGAGCCAAGATCGAGATTCGTGACGAAGTAAGTTCTTCGTGGCTTTTCAGATTAGTTCTTCGTGGCTTTTCAGATTATCAACATGCTTTTCGCCTGTGAGGGCACCGAGGACTCCGTGGCCTCGGCGGAGGGACAGGGGCAGGTGAGGTAATGGTTTACCTCGGCAGTCTATCTGCCTGAGCCCTCACCCCCTTTTTTGGTATTACGTCTCCTCGAGACGACGCTCCTTTTGGTTACCCCCTCAGTTGCACACTGGAATTGATTTGCCGGCGTTTACTGTGTAAATTAGAGTAGCGGCACGTCAGTTGCAGAATCAACGGTCATGTGTATCATTAAGTAACAGGTTCTCTTTCGAAAGATTTAGATTGATTCGTGGAATAAAAGAACCGTTGAAGTTACTAAGGGTAAGGATAAACTGATTGAGTACGATGAATGGTTCAAGTCCATCATTGAAGGCACAGCACTGACATCTCGCCTTCATTGAATTTCTATGGTAAACAGGAGGTAAATCCAAGCTTGGCCGACAACAGTGGTGAGTGCTTTCTTTATCCAATCGATCGATCGATCGAACGACTGGTACGAGGTAAGCCTATTATCAAGAGTGTTATTGAAGGTGCAGCGCTGACTTCTCTCCCTCATTGGAGTTTTATGGTATTCAGGAGAGAATTCTGAGCTCGGCCGTCAACAGATGAGTTGTTTTAATTATTCGAGTCGATCGTTTGCCGTACCTCTGTTATCCAAGCCTCACTCAATCCGTCCTTCTCCGGTGCAGATTTGAAAGCCATCCCTTTTTGAATCCTATGGACCATGGGATGGCAGTCAGTTCTCGACCCATGACGGCCAAGTTGGTGCAATTTGAATAACAAGGTTAAGTCTCCGGTCATCTGCTGTTCAGCACAGAAAACAAAACTCATATCTATTTGTGTTTTCTCTGCTGCACTGCTGATGGCCGATGAAATCCCATTGTCAAGCCTTTTCGTTCGAACGAACGAACGAACAAACGAACGAACGAACGAACGAACGAACGAACGAACGAACGAACGAACGGAAGGAATGAAAGAACGGAAGGAATGAAGGAATGAAGGAATGAAGGAATGAAGGAATGAAGGAATGAAGGAATGAAGGAATGAAGGAATGAACGAAGGAACGAAGGAACGAAGGAACGAAGGAACGAACGAAAGAAGGAATGAAGGAATGAAGGAATGAAGGAATGAAGGAATGAAGGAACCAATGAACCAACGAACCAACGAACGAACCAACCAACCAACGAACGAACCAACCAACCAACGAACGAACGAACGATCGGTCACTCCGGAGAACAAGAAGAAGAGGCTACCGCTACGGAGGAGTCTGTTAACTCCAGCCCTACCAAAAGCATGAACGGAAGACATCGTCGTCGAGTCATTGAATGGCAACAAGAGGAGGCTACGCGACAACACACAAGAGAATGGATCCTCCTACCGGATTCACCCCTCCTTTGTTTTTTCTTAGTATTTTGGTGGTGATTTCTGTGTTCATGCCCATTTTCCCGTGGGAACAGTGCTTGTGGAGCCTGGATTGACAATATTCCTGTATTCATTGTAACGGTGAGGCAATTGAGTGTAGCGAGCAAAACCTAACCTGAGTGTGTTCGGTACTGTTGACACTGTCACCGATTGATATAACTCTACGGTAACTGGCTACAATGGCTGGATTGACAATATTCGGTTGTGCATGTATTCGTCATAAGGATCCAATGTGAGGTACCGATAATCGTAGCGAGCAAAGCCGAACTTTCGGTAATGTTGCCACCACTGTCATCGATGTAGCTATACCGCAGTCGGCTACAATGGCTGAATTCATAATGTTCAGTTGTGCATGTATTCGTCATAAGGATCCAATGCAAGATACCGGCAACAGAGTGTAGCCAGCAAGGCGGAACCTGAAGTGTGTCTGGTAACTGTATGACATTGTGCGTCCGAGTAAACTGTACCGTAGCCGCTACGAATGGCTGGAATTAACAATTTCGGTTTGTGCATGTATTCGTCATAAGAATCAATGCGAGGTAACCAAGTGCAGCGAAGCAAAGGCAATCACGTCTCTTACCTTATTCGTCGACTCGATCGCTAGATATGGGTTGAGTTCGACTCATGACTGAGTCTTTCGTGAATAGTCATTGAGACAGGTATCTCAATGACCGCTCTAGTCATATCTAGGTTGAATGATTAAACATCGCTCTAGAATATTTAGCACAGCGTGGATTACTTCACACGCTACTAGATAAATGCTAGACGAATCTCCACGGTTCCGTTTTTGGATCGTGGAGTGAGTAGGATTGCTACCGCAACCTACTCTATCACCTCTAAGTCTCCCGCGGAGTTCAGATCTACGATCCTTTGGTTGTGAGATCTCTCTCGTTGATTAGATTTTCATAGCTTTCTAATCCTCTCATAACTTTCATTCTCTCAAACTCAAACACCGAAAGATTTTAACTCTATTTTTAGCGTAGTGCATTGTTAACAAACACAATATATTTGGATGATTGGAGCTATATCTCCATTTTCTCCAAGCTGAGTTCTACTACATGAAAATGGAGACACTTCGCCAAGACTGCACCATACCACCAACTAGCCTGACGAGGCTCATAAGCTCCGTCGATAGACAAGCCAAATATACCTCCGCTCTCATTACGAAACCCTCAGAGGGAAAGAGACGAGAGAGAGTAATGACAAAATGAATGCCAAAATCGTATTCGCCATTCAACCGCTCCTAAAAGAGACAACACACCTGAAATCAAGAATACAAAACTGAGGCACATTGTTACTCGAGCGGCTCTATACTGGACGCGCACATAGTACTACGCCTTCTCAATGATCCAAATACAATGGATCTTGAGAGCATTCTTACCGGTGCAGATACAATACGAGAAGAGGGAGAAGCAATCTAGAGACGATCTATGACGCATATGTACGTTGATGAGCCGCAGTATGGGCGCGCATTGTGCACGAATCTACGGAGGTATCAAGCTATAACCCTCGCGTCAAATATGGAGATGACTAAGTATCTTAGCTGGAAAGGAGCGCTATACGAAACACTAGAGACTCGATGCGAGAACTAATGAACGTGAACTACGGTTGGTACATTGTCATATGCTGACAAACTAATTCTGCATTGCACAGATCCACTGGCATTCCTGACTCATAGTCTAAAGCATATAGTACCGTTGGCGATGGTGTAAGACGAGATGACACGTTCCTCAAGCATCGTGTATCCAAGAGATGACAACGTGGGTACCGAAGAAAGCGCCAACTGCGAGGCCTAGCTTCGTGTGATGCGACTCAGAGATCCACGTTGGTCGAGGCCAACTTCCCAAAAGTCAGCATCATTGTCATAAATGCCTGTGTCGAGGCGGTCTGTCCCTACAAGGGTCTTGAAAAGCAGAAACGATTCATGCGCCGGAAGATGCGTAAGCATGCTGATATGTATACTCGTGCTTATGTCAATAACCTCAGTCGGATGAACTTCCTCGTCTAACACCTTTTGGACCCAACCAGACGTTGAACCATGACGAAGTCAGTGACATTGTTTGTCATGGAATTGCACGCTCGTGGATGAAGAAGATGACGAACACGACTTCGACCCCGCGTACTCGGGCTCTATCTGAGGAATACCAGCCTCGGAAGTTCTGCGAATCGCCGCATGGACAGTTCGCTTACCGATAGACTTTGAACGGACTTAGCCCACGGCGGGATGAGATAAATAAGTCGAAGCCTCACATCGAAAGCATAGATATCACAGGCTAGCTGACAGAAGTGAGGCAAACTATCCTTAACATTCGCAAACAAAACTACGCAAACATCTTCCAAGAACGCAAAGAAAAATATGGTGTCACACCACAGACGTACCAGCACCCACACACTGCTGACTCTGAGAATAAGTACTCTGTAAGAGAGCACCATAGGGTCCCAACGATCTCTAGTTTCGTCGTCTGTATCTAGTTGAAAGCACCATAGCCAGCGTACAACAAGAACAGAGGGTAGGGGAATACGCAGGTCCGCGACCCGATCGCCAGAAGCAGGCAACACACATTCCAATATAAGAGTGAACCATCACTCTGTCCTACAGAGTTGAATTAAGGTTTCCAAACGGGGGAAGAGCTGGGATAGCAAAAAATTAGTTAGTCGCACGATATAGTAAATATGCGAAATAGCAGCCCATATGTTGCCAAGGGCAAGTCAGACAACTCCGACAACGAGGACGACCCCCCTGTTGGATCCATCAACAAGAAGAT